GTGACACTGCGGGTGTGACACTGCGTGTGTGTGCGAGTGTGTTCGGGTGACATTGTGTGTGCGGGTGTGACACTGTGTGCAGGTGTTTGACACTGTGTGCGGGTGTGACACTGTGTGCAGGCGTGACATTGTGTGTGTGTGCGGGTGTGATACTGTATGTGGGGGACTGTGTGTGTGTGCAGGACACTGCGTGCAGGTGTGACACTGTGCATGTATTACACTGTGTGTGTGCGGGTGCGACACTGTGTGCAGGACACTGTGTGCATGTGTGTGATTGTGTGCGGGTGTGACACTGCATGTGCGTGTACACTGCGTGCATGTGCAAGCGTAACACTGCAGGTGTGACACTGTGTGTGTGAGTGACACTGCGGGTGACATTGTGTGTGCGGGTGTGACACTGCAGGCGTGACACTGTGCGCACGTGTGACATTGCGTGTGTGACATTGTGCGTGTGTGTGTGCGTGTGGCACTGTGTGAGCATGACATTGTGCGTGTGTGCAGGTGTGACACTGCGAGTGTGCAGACGTGACAGTGTGTGTGTGACACCGCGTCATGTGAGTGTGGCGCCGTGTGTGTGTGTGTGCGTGACCCCATGTGCGTGAATGTGACACTCTGTGTGTGTGTAAGAGACTGTGTGTGTGACTGTGTGCATGTGAGGCACCACGTGTGTGTGTAAGATACTGTGGCACTGCGTGCGTGTGTGACACCGCATGAGTGTGTGCGAATGTGACACCATGTGTGTGGCTCTGGGTGTGTGTGAGATGCTGGGTGTGTGACAGTGTGTGCATATGAGACTACTGTGTGTGTGACACTGTGTGGGTGTGTGGGTGCGTGGGTGTGACACCAGGTGTGTGGTACCATGTGAGTGAGTGACACTGTGTGTGTGACAGTGTGACACTGTGTGTGAGATACCATATATGTGAGGGAGAGTACGTGACACCCTGCATGTGTGTGAGACACGAGTGCACACACGCATGCGTGAGAGACACCAGGTGCAAGTGTGACAGTGTACATGACAACGTGCGTGTGTAAGAGGGACACCCGCTCTGACTGTGTGTGTGAGAGCTTGGGTGTGTTTGTGCGCGGGAGACACAGTGTGCGGCGGCAGGTGTGAGACACACCGGGTGCACGTGTGTGTGTGTGTCAGACGTCGTGCGTGGGAGAGGCTGTGTGTGACACTGCGAGTGCTTGCGACAGCACATGCGCGCGGCTGTGACAGCGTGTGCGTCGTGAGGCTGTGAGCGTCGGTGACGCTGGGTGTGCGTGTGCCACCACGCGCGTGTGGGTGCGTGGAAGACGCTGCTTGTTTGGCTGTGGTGCCCATGGGATGCCAGGACAAGGGCTGTGACACCTGGCTGTGACACCGGCCCCCGCCAGCAGCCTGGGCACCAGGGCAGGAGCACGAGGTGTCACCCGCAGCGGGGCAGCTCCGGCTCAGCCCTTGGAGGCCGCTGAAAAGCAGCTGGCGACTCCAAGCCTGTTCCACCTCCGCTCCCGGCTTCCTCCCAGCCTTTAAATTGAGTCCAGCTGAGGGGCGGGAATAAAAAGAAATCCTCATGGAAAAGTTCCTTTCTAGGGACTTTGGAGCATGGGAAATCATAGAATAAAATCATAGAATCGTTACGGTTGGAAAAGACCTTCAAGATCATTGAGTCCGACCATAAACCCTTCAACGCCGTCCTGCTAAACCCTGTCCCTGAGCACCTTATCTACACAGTTCTTGAACGCTGCTGGGGACGGTGACTCCACCGTGTCCCTGGGCTGCCAGGGAGGCACAGGAGGTCCCGTGACACCTTGCAGGACCTTTCAGGGAGAGGGGAGGCCAACACGAGCCGCGCTGGATTGTGACAGGGCAGGAGAGAAGGCCTAGCTTCGCTACCTCACGGTTCTGCTCTGCTTTAGCTGCCTGAAGCAAATGTGGTGCCACCATCTGCAGGTGCAGGTGGTGGTGGTGGAAACTCCTGGAGATGGGGAGGAGTAGCCCAGCAGACCCTGCACTACCGGAAAGCGGGAGAGGCAGGATTCAAGGGCCACGCGCAGTGAGCTTGCTGCACGCGGATATTCAGTGCAGCCTCCAGGAGATGCTTCGTTTTTGGAGAAGGGTGCCCGAAGGAGCTCAGGGCCGCACTGGTGGCCCGAGGTGCAGCGTACAGCCTCGCGCGAAGGAGCTGGTGCGAGGAGCCCCCGGCAGCGCGGAAAGGCCGCGGTCCCCGTGG